GCCCAAGCCAGCAGCTCGCACCAATAATCCGGCACGTGCGCTTGGGGACTCACCATTCCCGCAGCCTTCATCGCACGCGGTATGATGCGCATCCACAAGTTGCAAGGCACTGCGTTGCCGAGCATGTGCCCAAACTTGCCTCTTGTTACCTTGGCGCGGGAGGCGCGGTAAAATGACACTGGGATCCCCATGCATCGGAGAATGTCTTGTCTGGACATCGCGCGCTCCAGCCCAGTGATGTAGTAGCCGTTCGTGTTGCTGCATCGCGCCGCTGTCAAGCAAGGAGCGCAGCCCAGCCTCGACTGCGCAAACTGCATAGAGCAGCCGATGTCCACCACCAGGAACTCCTTGGAATCCGCTTTGCCCATCAGCTGCTGATGCTCTTCTGCATGCTGCACCAGTTTCCTGCAGCAAGCGTTTTTTCCGTTGGCACAAGTCCGGGGGAGTTTCTTCGCCGCTGGGGTAAGCAAATCCCAAACACGTGCTAAATAAAGTTAGTGCGTCAGTTGCTTCTCAGTAAGGTTCGGAAACTCGCGGCGGCCCTCTGCCACCATAGATAGAGACAGGTGGTGGTTGAACTCTTCTGGTGGCTGCCACACGCCTGGACGCAGTTTGTCGTTGCGGACGAGGATCAAGATCACACGTGGGCGACTCTGAGGCAAGCCGTGCTGGTTGCACTGGTAGAGGCATTTGTCCTGCAAACGCTAGCGGGTTAGTCAGCGCTCTTCCTTGAAAGGCGCAAACCTCGAGTCTGATAAACCAGACCTCAAATGAAAGGTGACATTCAATTGGTCCTTGTTCACTGCGCAGTAGCCGATGTCTTCCGCAGCGCGCACAAAGCGCTGGAAGGACTTCTTGTGCTTCGTGAGCAACGTAGCCACGTTCTCAACGAAAGCCAGTGACGGGCGATGTTGCCGCAAGACCTTGAGCGGGTGGAACAACAGGACGCCACGGGCGTCAGCTTCGCCGTCCCCACTGCCTAACACGGAGTAGGACTGACAAGGGGGAGTGGCAAAATAGATATCGGGGGGCTCCTGCTGCTTCAAGTCCATGCTCTTTGCGTCGCCCAGCGCCTGGCCATGGAAGTGCTCTCGCAGCATCCGTTGGCAGGAAGCGTCGTTGTCCGACAGCCACACGTGGCGGAAGGGAACGCCCAGCATCTGTAGTGACAAGCTGGACGTGGCAACGCCTGCAAAATCCACCGCCACCTTCCACGAGCGAGCGTACTTGAAGGCCCGGAGGAGGCCCTGCTTCTGGAGGCACCTTGTAGCCCATTACTGCTCCTTTGTAGCAGAAGGGCTTGTCCCTTTGCGCCACTTTGCTGGAAAGCGCAGGCTGGTCCGACTGTTCAGCACGCTGAGGTGGTGGCTTTGCCGCACTGGGCGCCGCCTGATCAGCCTTTCTTTCCCGCCTTGTCGACATCTCCTCCTGAGCCTTGTTCTTCAGTCTCTGGCGCCCTGCGCCCTGCAACACCTTGCCCTTGCTTTCTCGGCCGCCTTTGACCTGAGCCTTGCCCTTGGTCTTCCTGTCCGCCGCGCCCCGAAGAAGCTTGCTCTTCTTCTCGCGGCCCTCCTTGTCCGGTGCCTTGCCCTTGGCCTTTGCCTGCAGAGCGCCTGGCAGCGTGTCCGCAAGCTTCGCGCTCGCGATCCGCGAGTTCTTGCCTTGTGGCCCCAACGCTGTCAAGCCCGCGTCAGCAGCTGGCCTCTTCCCACGGCTTGGCGCGGGCTGTGTGCTCAGCCCGGCCTCGAGGAGCTCCAGCGCCTCCATCTGGGACAGGCCAGACTAACCAAGCAGCTGCCTAGCCTACAGCCAATGCTCTGCAGCGGCGTGCTTGCAAGGGAGCGGCTGAAGAAGGAGAAGCCGAAGGTGCAAGATCAAAATACATCACTAGTTTGTTAGACTGATCACGCGCTAGAAACAAAAGATGCCATGGCCAGGGCAACACTTGCAACAACTGGAGTCGTCGAGGTGAAGCCAGATGACAGCACCCTTGTTTCGTGCAGGCCCTGATGCCGTCGCATCTACAAAGAGCGGCCCTGCCACTCGACAAAGGGCAAAGCCAAAAACAAAGCACAAGTGCCCACTCGAAGGACAAAACGACAAAGGAGAGCCCTCAGTTTGCATATCGAGGACCGAAGCAAAAGCAAACATAAGTTGTCGCAACGTTTACATGATTGTCATTCTCTTTCGTGGCCTCAGGGTTGGAGGGCAGGTTTGCCTTGCCTTTGCCTATTTTTGCTCTCTGGCAATGCCGAACGGACATGACGAAAGGTGCTAGCAGGACATGCCACAAACGCAGCCGCAGCCGACCACGATGCAAGTACAAAAGACAAAGCACAAGTGCCGGGAGCGGCGCAAAGATCTTTTTCCCAAAAGGGAGCGGGCAGTGTCTTGCCTAGATCTCCGGGTCGAATTGCGGGTCACGGCCAGGTCGTGGATGTCCTGACAGGGCAGGGTTCGCATTTGGCTTGCAACAAATTGGGGCGGTCCTCCGTGATGCACTTTGGCATGTTTGCTCGGCTGCGTGTCTTCTCCTCCTACCAGTGCACATGGTCAAGTTTAAGCGGCGGCACTTGGTTATGCGCCTGATGGGCGCTTGTGCGGGCGCGGCTCAGATCCTGGCCGCGGCGCACCCGAAAGCAAGCGCGTTAGCAGAGCACCAGGGCATGATGCGGGGCACGGAGTGTGACGTGTATTGTGTTTCTGGGAAAGCGGGCCTTGACCATGCTCGCCTGTATTGGTGCCAGCGCCTGCCGCGAATGTCACACAGACACTGGCATGGATTGCAACCGAAAAGCCTGGTGCTTCGCGGGGCTCTGCAGGGGCAGTATCGCCAGGAACTGAGTGGATACGTCCTGCCCGGGCGCTCGCATTCAGACTTCAACTCAAAAGAACAGCTCTCCTGTTCCTATGAAGTGCTCTGCGCCAGGAACTGCGGGAGCACGTCCTGCCAGGTCACTCTCAGACAGGCCGCAACTGAAAAGTTTTGAGGTTCTCCTGTGTGGGTCTCTGCAGGAGTGCTTTTGGCAGGAAGCGTGGAAGGGTGTCCTGTTAGACCAATTTCAAGCAGAACTCGACTGAAAGAGTGGCCCTCCTCCGGCAGCCTCTGAGCCAGGAACTGTGGGAGCGCGTCCTGCTAGCGAGGGCCGTTTCAAACAGGCTTCGACTGAAAAGAGCGCTCCTTCTGTGTCGGGACCAGCCGCAGCAGACGTGGGTCCTTCCAGGGCCGGACAAGGATCGCCCAGCCATACTTGCCAGAAGCTGATGAAAAGCAGCAAGTGGCGCGGACTCAGAAAACACTCCGTCCAACAGAAGATGGCCGCGCAAAAGGCACAATGGGTTTCTGGAAAACACAACAATGACAAGTCACTGGCAGGCCCTTCCAAAATCGATTGTTTTGAGGCACGTCCTGGGAGCACCGCGTACCCGGCCGCAGCCAGCTGGCGGTACACCGCCTCTCGGCTCGCGACCATGTAGTCGACGGCACCTTGAGCGTGCGCCCTGCGCAGCATCAGTACAGACAAAGGACAAAAGATCTTAAGAACAAAGCGCAAACACCGCAGACTCCACAAAGGACAAAAAGCGCAATGCTGCCGCGCAGCTGTACGAAGCGCTATACATGTTCTGCAGCGCCCTCAGCAAGATCTGGCAGTGGGGGCATGGCTCCGCGGCACGCGGCGCTTGCCTTTCGGCAGGCCTTTCAGCGGGCTCCTCCGCAGCCCGGGACGCCACCTCACGGACATCATAGCCCATACTGCTCAGCTCGCTCCACGCAAGGTCCCGCTTCTCCTCCTGCTCGAACCACAGCAGCACCGCCCCGGGCTGCCCCGGTCGACGGCGCATGGAGAAGTGGCAGCCGGCTCCCTGGAGGCTCGCCGACCACCGCCCCCACGAGAGCCAGCTCCACACCCTCCCGCTGTGGATGCCGGCGGGCACCCCGCCAACCCACAAGCCATAGTCCATGGCTGCCGCCATGGGTCCTGGGTCTGCGCAGGTTGCTGTCGTGCTTGTGCTTGGTGCTGAGTTGGCCGCGTGCCTGCTGCTTGACCAGTTGTTTGCCCGTGTGCCCTCTGGTCCCTCGAGCCACAGGCAGAGACATGAGCAGACTTAGGGTTCAAGGACAAAGACAAAGGCAAGTGCAAAAAGTTGACAAGGGCAGATGCAAAAGAAACTCTGCCAGCACGCTGGCAAAAACAAACATAAAGACAAGGTGGAAAGCCCTGCAAGCATGGCAGCTGCAGCTGCGTAGTGACAAAGCACAAAGTGAAGACAAAGACAAGACACAACTGTGAATTACCGCTCGGACGGCTCCCCTTAAATCTGCCCGTGCGACGGTGCGTTCGCTTGCGATAGGGGCAATGAGTCTGTGTTGAGAAGGGTGCCCCAAAAGCGGGCGTCAATGCGGGGGGGGATGACCCCCCATGCGCTTGCGAGTTCCAGCCCAGCTACGGAACACTTTGATTGTGAGTTCGGGCTGAAGAACGTTCCTTGCTGCAAGAAAAAAAACGGTCAGCGCGGGGCGGGTTGACTCATCCTGTGTTAAGGGCAGGTTTCCCCACCCGGCTGCGAAGGCGGGCCAGGGTGGCCGGGGCTCGCGATTTAAGACGAGCCTGCTGCGACTGCGCTCGCTTTCCACCTTTTTGCTGCATTGCCTCATCCCCAGGCGCGACAACAGCAAGTTCGCTGCCTCTCTGCTCTCTTGCTGCTTTGCCTACTCTTCCATTGTCTCCCCTTGTCTTTGTCGTGCTCTTGACTTTCCCTCTCTGTCTTCTTCTCGTCTTGCTGCTTGCACTGTCTTTTGCTCGCTGCTCTGCTCTTCCGCTCCTTCTATCGTCTCCCTTGCCTCCTTCCTCTCTCTCTTTGCCCCTGCCCTCCTCCCCTTTCTCTTCGCCTCATTCTTCTCTTTCTCTCCCTCTCCCTCCTTCTCTTCACATTTGTCTCCTCCTCCTCTCATTGCTTTGCTCTCTTCTCTCTCTACTTGCTGAACTTGGCTAGGAGGTTCAATATCCGCAAACACCCGTGCAACATCGCTGTGGATCTTGCTTTGCAATGAACTGGAAAAACTCCTTGGGAGTTTGGATGTGAGTGCTGAGCGTGGACCTTTGTCCCTTGGCACCACGTGCAACCAGCACTTCAAGAAGACCTTTCTTCTCTGACGGCCGTGTCACGGCGAGAACGGCGGGGCTCTGCTTCCTGGCGGCCGCTTCCACTTTCTGCTGCTCGAAGTCTTCTTGGCCATCCAGCATCTTCCAGCGCCTCGCCGTCTTCGCCATCTCCACGACCAGCTGGTGCAGCTGCGGGCTGTGCTTCTGAGCTGCCTGGGTCCAGTACACGCGGCGCCTTGTGTCCAAGGCCTTCTGCCAAGAAACGCACGGCCCTTGCATCTCCTGCAAGGTGTCCCAGGTCATGACGCTGCCTCCGCAAAGCACCGCTGCCGCCCAAGTTCTCTCCGACATGCTTTCCAAGGACTCTGCAAGAAACACGGTGGCCTGAGCCCTGCGGTCGGTGAGCTGGAAACCGCGCTCACTTGCCAGCCGCTGCAATGAGGGCATGCCCGGCGGCACGAACACAACTCTCCCTGTCAGGTCTGGCAATGCGCCTTGTAGAGCAGCCGCACGCTTGCTTGTCTGCCGCGCCCGCTGACGAGCATTGGCTTGTCGCCGGCGCTCTGCTTCAGGAGCTGCGTCTAGAACTTCATCTGGCACATCTCCGGGCAGCAGGGCTCCCAGCTCATGAGCCTCTTGGGCCAGTCGCACCTGCCAGGGCCGCAATGACATGGTTTGGCGCGCGCGCGCGCGCAACTTGCAAGAAATGGGACAAGAACACAGGCCTGCTTCTGCTGCTGGAAAGCAACTTCCTCTGCGTGCTTCTCTGTCCAGAAATCCCCCAACATGTCTGCCGGAAGCGGGTCGGTGGAAAGAGCTGCGCCAGCTGCTTTGCAACCTTCTGAAACAGCCTCCCTGCGGCGCCGCAAGAAGCCCGCCAGCGTGCGGCCTTTTCGAGGCCCCTGGCGCTGACCCTTGTGAAACCTAGGGCCAGTGGACTCCCTGGCTGGGCTGTGCCGCTGCATCCAAACCTCCTGCGCCTGCCCGCGGGCAAAGCAAACATAAAAGGAAAGACAAAAACAAAAGATAACAAAAGCCCAGGCCTTCTGGATGATGGCGTCTTCCTCTGCCGCCTGGTAATCCGTCAGGAGCTTCGCTTTGGCCACGTGCAGCGCCAGGGATTGGTGGTCAGCAGACTTTCCAAAAGACCACGCTTGCCGCGAGAAGCGTCTCTCAAGGCCACAGGTGCTGATTGCAAAGGCCAAGTAGCGCTGCAAGCATGCCTGCAGCGCAGCCACCGGCCTCCCCAACTTCTGCGCGTGCCACACGGCTTGCGCCCACGCTGGGCCAAAACCCGCCGAGGCTTCTGAGCATCTGCTGGCAAAGATCCTGCGCGCAGGCACTTGGGTGGCAAGCAGCTGACGAACAAGCTCGCCTGCGTCCAACTGGAAAGCTTTTGCCAGACGTAGGAAGTGCTTCTCTGCCTCGCTGCCTGGCGTTGGTCGCCTGGCGTCCTCTGGTCCATCCAAGGCAAACACATGGAACGCCGCAGCAAGCTCCCAGTCCGGGAACACGGCGTGGAGCACGGAGTTCACCACCTTGTGCCAGGCCTGCATGCGGCGTAGACACCGCTCCTTGACTGCCTCGCCTGGCAACTGCGGGCCCCCAAACTCCCGCTGCGTGCCTGCAACTGCAAAGCTGTACCGCTGTCGCAGCACGTGGAGCGCCCACGCAGTGAAGCCGGATGAGCTGAAGACCCCGCCGTGCAAGAACAAGTAACTGATGCGCTTCTCAAAGTCTTGGACGCATGTGATGAGCTCCGCCGTGTTCATGCCAGCACCCGCGTCTGCCACCCGCAAGAGGTCCCCGACTTCCACAGCTGCGTCAGCTAGTAAAGCCAGCTGGAGGTAGCTCTCCGCCGACAGCGCTGCCAGGAACCGGCTGGCATCGTGAGAGACATCTTCTTGGCTTCGCTCTGCGCGGATGCGCAGAGCCACATGAATGAGAGGCTCAATGTACAGCACTAGCCGGCATAGCGGCTTTTCATGGCTCGCCATTCGATGCTTGGCAGCCTTGAGAGACCTCACGCGAGCATCTAAAGTGGCCCTGGCATATGGCTGGCACTCCTGGAACCACATTTTAAAAATCGGCGAGTTCTCGATGCGCTGAACCAAGGATGCCTTATCCCACACAAAAGACCGGAAGAGCTGGTCGAGGAAATCCGAGGCTTTGTAGGAGCGGGCAATCAGCCTCAGTTTTTGAAGCCAGGCGCGGGCTTGCAAAGGAAAAACTAAAAGGAACCAACTTGGACACTTTGTTAACTCTGGCCCGCAGCTTGTGCAGACCGTGCGCTTTGTCTCTTGCAATCCATCGCAGATTTGGCGTGTAGGGCTGCAAGTCCTGGAAGCTTGGTCGGTGGCCTTCGTTGGAAGCTGCCACCTCGTCTGGAGCGGCGTCTATGCAGACCAATTCCACTGCTTTCCGCAAAGCATTTTCTGATCCATGTTTCACCTGCTTGTCTAGGCTGGTGAGAGCAGCTCGCACGATCTCCTTGGTGCCTTGGAGGACGCCTGCAGCCCCACCCTGGTTGAAGGCGCAGTGCAGCACCCCCGACCGAGTAGACAGGTCGGAGGAAGCAGCTGTAAAGTCGCACTGGATCACCCGGTTTCTTTCATCACGGTGTAGAGCAATGACTACCCCTGGCTGGGTCAAAAACTCTTCGTCCTTCAGCCGCATGGCCTCGTAGAGGCACCACAGCATGTCAAGGGCCTTGGTCTTCGAGTTCTCCTGCTTCTGAGCTGAGCGTCCTTGGCGAATTGCTTTCCAGAGTTCCTGGAATTGCCTCGTTGTTGGCGCCCCAGGGAGCTCAGCATTTTTAGCGCCTAGGAGCTTGCGGACACACGCTTCATGCAGCTTTCCCTGCGCGTGGCGTCGGAAATTGCCCCACTTGACACTTGTCACCATCCCAGGCGTTGCCAGGGCTGACTTCCCCTTGGCATGCATGACACAAGCGCGGCAGACATAAGAGTCACCTTCCGCTGCCTCAAGCCAAGAGCGGCCTTGCCAGCCGCGCAGAAGCACTTCGTCACACCCAACACTCAAAGGTTTGGTGACCAATGGCAAAACCTGCCGCGCTTTCACCAAAGTCTTCGCCTGAGACGGCTTCACCACATCGCGCTTCACTGTGGCCTTCCGAGTCTCACATGCAAGGGGGCGGCCTTTCCCCATGGCTCGCTCCCTTGCCAGCGCAAGGCTATGGCCGGGAATGCTTGAACAAATGGGGACTTGCTCTGCTGCGACAGGTTTTGCCTTTCAAGAAAAGTAGTCGCTCGCGGCGCATCTTGACACGTTACGTTAATTTGCGTAGAAGGCGTGTAGCCAAGTGGCCTCCGTCAAAGCCCAAAGAGGCTGCGATGTGCTTCATGTCCAGCCCTTGGAGCTCGGAAATTGCAAAGAGAAAAAGTGAAAGCACAAAGGAGGCCGGCCGGCTTTTGTATCATCTCGGCTCACGGGCAGATGTCTACCTGCAGCTTCTTTGCAAAGCCTCTTGGTCTGACAAAAATCGGCTGAGAGGCTCGTGCCAACCAGCAGCAAGCGTTAAGCAAGCATTGCGTTCCAACTTCGGCCTGGACAGCAAACTTGACACAACAATGTCCTTTCCATGGCCCGTGGGGGAAAGGCCTTGCTGGGATAAATGCTGCTTTTGAATTTCAGACCCAGCGAGTTGAGAAGCTAAGCTCGGGCTAGGAGCTGTTGTGGGAGATCTAGGCGTTCACTCGGCGGAGTTGCTGTCAGGATCCGACTGGTCATCGTCAGGCACAGGGACGGGCGCAGGCGCCGGTTTCGGTTGGCCGTTGCGGCCGCCTCGCCCGCGCCCCCCTCGTCCACCACGCCCGCGCCCATGAGGTTGAGGAGCGGGCGCGCCTCCGCCTGCTGCGCCGGCCATAGCCTCAGCCAACTCCCGGTCATACAGCTCGCTTGTGCTGTCCTGCATCTCAGCAAAGGCCTGCGACTTTAGGTGGTCCAAAAGAAGCTCCTTGCGCGCGTCATTGAAGCAGACCCCCGTGTAAGGGGTGTGCATTTTCATGCACGCAAGCGCCCCCACACCCGACCCTGCAAAGCCGTCGACCAGGGCCTTGATGCAGAAGCCATGGCAGAGTTCTTTGTAGACCTGGTCGAAATTGGGCAAGGGCAACAGACAAAGCCAAAACCACAAAACAAGTCGGCGAAAGACGGCTTCTGCCGCCTGCTCGTGCCAGCTGTGGAAAAAAACCGGCTCTAGGTTCGTGTCCACGCGCTTGGCGCAGGAGCCGCGCCCAGCGTTCACAGCCAAGCCTGTGGCGCCCGGCAACTCTTCCACGGCACTCGCGTCCGCAGTGGCCTGGCAACGGCGCACGCCCATTAAAGCACAAAGAGGAAAGAAGCGACTGCGTCTCACAGCCTGGCACTGCTCTTCCACTTCCTCATCCACGCCCTCTGGCGCCGTGGTGCCGCCCACTGGGCGGCGAAATGGCCCAAACAGCTCTTTCTTCTTGCTGAAGGGCAGGGCCCAGCACTGTGGCCAAGGCTGGTACTGAATAGCGGACAAAAGGTTGCCTTCATTCGTTTGCGAGCCAAGCTTGTAGACCAAGCGGTCGCGTCTGGGAATCTCCGGCCTTTCTCCCCAGAAGATAGTGAGAACCTCCATGAGCTGCAAGTTCCCGCCGCGCACCTTCGTTGCTCGCCGGCGCTTAGCAAGCTGCTCGTGGCTGTACGCCAGGTACAGCAAGGTGCTCTTATTGTCGCGGATGACTTTGGACTCTTCGTCCAGGAACAAGCGCTTGAAGTCCGTATTGGTGAGTCCTGGAAGTCAAGAGAAACGGCTCCGAGTTTGAACAACAATGTGCTTTGAAACTCGTGACAGCAAATCACATCTTATGTCGGGCCGCCCATCTTGCCGGCATCTGCGACCATGACCAAAGAGCCAGGGAGAACGCTGCCACAGGAGCCCTTGGCCTTTGTGAAGGCCGCCACCAACTTCCGGAACGCATCTTCTGCGTAGGCAGGCGTGCGGATGTGTGGGCTTGTCACGGCCTCCCCGGAAAGCTTGCTATCCAGGAGGAGGGCGCAGTACTGCAGGCCCTGCGTTCCACTGACTTGCAGCGCAGGGGTGTTAGACAAGGCATCAGCCAGCTCGGTCTCAGACATCTCCATGGTGACAAGCTGCACGTGCGACGTCACCAGGCGGGAAGCCTTGGTCACGAAACGCTCCAGAACAGGAGCGTCTTGGCAGCCAGCTTGCGCCATTTGCAACCTCAGCGGAAGCGCTGGCGCAAAAGGCTTTCAACAACCAAACTCGCTACCAAGCTGCCGGGCACGGTCCTCCCAGGTCTCCTCGCCTCCTTCGTCGTCTTGACCCACAGAGCCGACAACAGCGTTGTCTGCGCGGCTTGGGGAGTCTTGAAGATTGGCACCAGTCTCCTGCTATGTGTAGTCGCGCCGTGTTTCTAAAACTTGCGTTACTGCAACGGCCCGTCAGTCCTGCTCCAAGGCTTTCTTCCACTCCTCTAGCCGCTTGCTGGGAGCGTCGTACTCCCAGTACTCCCGAACTGATTTCCGAGCTCGCAGGGCAACCTTTTGCAAGGGGTCTGTCTCCTTGCTGTAGATTGTGTCCTTGACACAGTGCAGCACTGGCAGAGCGCAGGGAAGCACATGCCCACCGAAAAGAAAACTTGAAAGACAAGGTTTGCTTGGAAGATAAAAGCACAAAGGCAAAGCGAAGCGCGAAGGGCTGCCCGTCCTCGAGGATGGACGCGATCAAGTGGCCAGAGCGTGGCCACGCCACTGTGTAAGAGATGTCGGCCTCGCCGCTGTAGGGCTTGCACTGCTCTCTGTAAGAGACGTGGCTGCTGAAAATCTGCTTGATCTTGGTCGCGACCTCTGGCTGCAAAGGGTGCATGGCCATGAGCCGCTGCAAGATGTCCTGCTGCAGCTCGCGCTTGTAGAGGTAGAGCTGCACCAGCCCCTTGCCACCAGCGCTCCGGCCACTCAAGCACTCAGCGGACAAGTTTTCCGAAACTTGCATTTGCCCGCTGCGAAGTCGGTCCTGGACGGTGGAAAGCACCCATAGTTGCTCTGCGGAGCTGCCGCGGCACACCTTTGCAAGCTCAGCCAAGCGGCTGACACCGTTCAGCGGATTGCGGTGGCCGAATTCCTCTTCGAGCTCCAACAAAATGGCCCGGCTTTCCTTGTGCGACAGCAGTGAGCGCCACAAGCGCACAGCCTCCACGATGAAGTTCTCCGTGATGCGCTCTCCACCAGCGGTGCAGCCGTAGTTTGCGTAAGTGTGAGCCAAGGTAGTGACCGCGCAAGTTTTGCCAGCACCTGGGGCAGGCAGCGCGTTCTGTTGCTGCAAGTAGGCAACCACCTCGAAGACCCGCTGGAGGGCCGTCCGCTGCACCGCCTGGAACCTGAACACAAGGGCAAGGCACAAAGAACCGCCCCGAAAGCGCGCCCAACTGGAAGCGCAAGCAGATTCAGCAACTGCTCCCCAAACATAAATGCAAACGAGCGAGTTTAATGTTGCGCTAGGAAATGGCAAGCCGCGCCTTCGGGTCATCTCTTCGCGATGCTTGACAGTTAGCCAGTGCACAGCCTCACCGGAGGCAAGGACCACTCGAAAGGTTGTGCTCAAGAGGTACTTTCGCCACAGTGTCATGGTCTCTGGCGGCGTCTCAACATCTTGAGCATCGCGAGCAACTGCCAGGAGATACGCGTGAACGACCTCCTCTGGCGTGACTCGCTTGAACCAATCCACATGTTTCTGACCGTCTGGGAAGTGCTTGTCCGGGGCAGCCAGTGTGATGCAGTCTGGGAATTCGACCGGCTCTGCAAAGTCCCTGTCGGATATCTCCAGCAACTGTCTCTTGTTGGGCGGAACCCCGTGCAGCGCCAGCCAGCATGGGTTGCACCAGAAAAAGTTGCCTGCAAACTCGGCGGCGCCCTGGCTCATCATGGCATTCCGGTACTGCTGCACGTTGAACGGGTGCTTGTAGCCCACGTTCCCCCACTTGTCCCTCGCCCCAAACTCCACTGGCTCTGCAGTGAGGATGTCCTGCAGCACAGGGTGCTTGGCGATCTGCTGAACAGCTTGGTGGATCTCTGCAAGGTGCGCCGCAGCCTCTGGGAAATCGGCGCCGCGCTGTGTCTTGCCTACCTTCCCGGCAGGCTGTGCTACGCCCGCTTGCGCTCGCTTTCCCATGGCCTGGCGCCGCGTCTGCTACAACGCAGGTCTCGAATAGCAAAACGGGCTTGCGCGGCAGTACAGCTCAACACAAAGCACAAATACTAGCGCAAGCAGCAAAGTACAAGGCTGAAAGGACAAGTCGGTGGAACGCAGTCCGCCATCCAGGAGACAATGTCTAAACACCCAACTGCCTGCCTCTTATTATCTAAAGTCTTCTTCTATGTTCCAAAAGCACATACCCAGTGCATCCAGAAGCGCCGTTTCCCGCACTGCTAGCCGGCGATGAGCCATCCAGGTGCTTAAAGTGACACTGGATGACCCGTTTGATGAACAAATGACCCGTTTAGCCTCTAGCAGCGCCGCTTTCCGAGCGGCTGGCGCCAGCAGTGCAGAAAACGACACTTCCAGGGAGAAGCGCCGAAACGGCTCTAGCAGCGCTGAGCGAAAAAGGCTTGAGATGTGCTGTCGAATCGTTTGCTTCAGCCAAAGAAATCCCAACCAATATGACCAGGTTTAATCTAAGCTGGCCTTAACCAAGCTCCAGCCATCTGTCCGTACAGTGGCTTGTTGGTTTTCAAACGGGACCAAGCGCCGAAAACTGGCACTTCGGAAGCGCTTTTGCGCCAAGTGCCTGCCCACAAAGCTGCCCACGCAGCAAAAGCTAAGTCCAGGCAACTCAGAAGGCCCCTGTTGTCAAACAAAACGAGCCTGCGTCTTGTCAGATTTGCGGGGGGCGCCGCCAAGCGCAACCGGATTTGAACCAGCCTTTGGCACCAGACCTGCGAGGGCGCGCCCTGCAACGACCGGCCGGGCCGATTGCGTTGGCTTCCCTTTTGGCTTCCCTGACCCCCCGGGTTAGGGAAGCTAAAAAGGGAAGGCATTCCGTGTGTCTTTTTCCATCACGCGCCCGCCCCCTAGATCAAAACCGAAGCGTCAAATGGCAGGATGCCGCAAGACATAAGACGTTGCAAAGCTGTGTCGCGGGTGAGTTTTTCATGCCTCTGGTAGTCACTAAGCTTGCTGGTCACATTGTCAATGGCGACCATCTGCTGCTTGGATTAGAAAAGTCGCCTCTGCGGCTTGCCCATGATCGCATGTCGCAAGAAAGCAAAGGTGGAAGCAACTTCTTCTGGAACACACTGAGGCTCCAACAGCTCCTCTTAAAGTCTGGGCAGTAACCCTTAAAGAGATGAAGACGCTTCGGGCCCACGGCTTCAGCCAGCGCCGGACCAGCCGGACCGCAAGGCCACCACGTTCGTCACGAGCCACTTCTACTTGGACGACTTCGTGCAGTCCAGCGAGGACCCCAACCCGCAGCCCCTGCAGCACACTCCCCTGAGGGCGATTCCTGAGGAAGGTTTCCGCACTCCCGCCGAGGCCACGGACGAGGACTTGGCCCGGATGCGCCAAGGCGGAGGAAACCGCTTTGGCGAGGACGACCTCGCAGGAGACCCCGAGGCCGACGCGCTGACGAACAACGGACAGGGCCCGCCCTCCATCACGGGCCGTCTGCGCAGCGCGGCCGACGGAGCGCAGGCAGCAGCGGACCTCGTGGGCGCAGGAGCAGCAGGGCTCGCGGCGGTGCAGGCCTTCCGCTCCCAGCTCCCCCAGGACGCAGCCGAGTACGTCCGCCTAAATGTGTTGCCCCGCCCAGGGCCGCAGCCGCAGCCACCACCGCAGATAGGCCGACCCGACGACGTAGAGCGCCTCCTGGACGAGGCGGGGAGGTGGAGCGTGGCGCAGCACAGGCCATAGAGGAGACGGCAGCAGTGGCTGCGGAGGAGGGAGAGGTCGCCGTCGCAGCCGTGGGCGGGGCCTTCGGGTACTCAGCAGCCCTCGCCACGGCGGGAGAGGTTGCTGGAGCGATGGCTGCCACGGCGGGAGTTGGCGCAGCGGCAACGGCAGGGTTGGCCGTGGGACTCGCAGGCGGCGCAGCCTACGGCCTGGCCCGCGGCACGGGCTGGGTGCTGGAGAACACGCTCTTCCGGCCTCAGCAGGGCAGCGAGGACGCGGCCGTGCAGGACGTCCGGTCCGCCAACAACATGAACGACGCCACGCAGCCCCAGCACTTCACGCTGCGCACCGGCAGCAGCACTTCGGGCAGCCCCGCAAGCAGCCGCGCCTCCTCGCAGTCTGGCTTCCGAGTCCAGGCGCAGACCAATCACACGCCCCGCCCCTTCTCCTGGGGCCTGAACCCCGTGACTCTGCCTCAGTCCCAGCCGAACTCCCGGGCAGCTCGGGGCAGTCGCGCCAGAGCCGCCTGCCTCCGCCGAGCTACGACCAGCTGGCCCGAGACATCGAGGCGGCCTAGACTCTCCTTCGCCGTACGAACAAAAATGAGTGTTGCGCTACATGTAAAGAAGCATGGAGGTAGTCACAGCCGGAGCACAGGATGAGTTGATGCAGAGCTTGGACTACAAGCTGAAAACCAGCAACACCAACTACGTGACCGCACGGCACGACGTGCAGTATTTCCCCAGCTCCCTTCTCCCCCGCCACCTCGAGGGTCTGCCGCATTCCCGCATTCCGCTGACCAGCGGCACCTCGTTCATCGACCCCGAGTCGATCAAGATCGCCTTCAGAGTCAGAAACACGGACGCCACCAACCCGCTGGCGCCTGCCACTCCGAACCCAGCCTGTTTCATTCAGAGGATCCAGGTCTTCGCCAACGGCCAGCGCTGCGACGACATTAACTACTACGGCCGCACCGTGGCCGTGCTTTTTTCTTCCTTGAGCCGAGACTGATCATCGCTGAGAGACGGATCTTCCAGCCTCCAACCCGGTGAGCGCCTCTCCTTAGAGCAAGAATTAAAACCCCTGCTCTGAGACGGATCTTCCCGACCCCAGCCCGGTGAGCGCCACTACCTAGGAGACCTATATTCCCAGGTCCGAGACGGATCTTCCCGACCCCAGCCCGGTGAGCGCCTCTCCTTAGAGCAAGAATTTAAAACCCCTGCTCCGAGACGGATCTTCCCACCTCCAGCCCGGTGAGCGCCTCTCCTTAGAGTAAGAATTAAAACCCCTGCTCCGAGACGGATCTTCCCGACCCCAGCCCGGTGAGCGCCTCTCCTTAGAGCAAGAATTAAAACCCCTGCTCCGAGACGGATCTTCCCACCTCCAGCCCGGTGAGCGCCTCTCCTTAGAGTAAGAATTAAAACCCCTGCTCCGAGACGGATCTTCCCACCTCCAGCCCGGTGATGCTCCGAAACGGATCTTCCCGACCCCAGCCCGGTGAGCGCCTCTCCTTAGAGCAAGAATTAAAACCGAGACGGATCTTCCCACCTCCAGCCCGGTGAGCGCCTCTCCTTAGAGTAAGAATTAAAACCCCTGTAAGAATTAAAAACCCCTGCTCCGAGACGGATTTTCCCTCCTAAGCCGGGTGCACCTCTCTCCCCCTTACCCCTCCCCCCTCCTTTTACCCTCCCTTTTTACCCCCCCCCCCCCCTCCCCCCCCCCCCCCCCCCCCCCCCCCCCCTACCTTGCATAAAAATTCACCACCCGAAAAAAAAAAATATAAAAATTCCAAAAAAATAAAATATTCATTTATTAATTTTCTTTCCCCCCCCCCTCCCCTCTTCAATTATTTTAGGTTAATATGTCCTTAGAGTAAGAATTAAAACCCCTGCTCCAAGACGGATCGGCCGCGAGTTGTGAGCGTCGAGGCCGTAGACCTTGTCGTTGAAGGGGGAGAGCGACTTCTTCTCGACGGTCTCCGGCGAACCTGCCCGGCAGAGCCGCGCCAGCCCGCCGACATGGAGGCACGCAGCTGATGTCTCGCACCAACTACGAAGCAGTGGCCGATTTCGCCGGCCACTGGCTCCATCGTGCGCAGGTCTCGCTTTTGACCGGCAAAATCGGTCAAATCAAATTGAGTCACATCCGAAAAAAAACCCTGGTGCGGGCCTGGTGCGGGCCTGGTGCGGGCCTGGTGCGGGCCTGGTGCGCCTTAGCCTGTGAGGGGGTGGTGCGTCAAACGCACTACCCACGCCAGCCCGCCGATGTGGAGGCTTCCAAGGTCGGAATTCTTCCCAGGGAAAAAAATCCAGTCCTCCCCCAGTCCTCCCCAGGGGAGGACGTACTTGCGGAAACTTGTGCCGAAGAGGGGTTGGTGTTTGACGCACCAACAGGCGGTGGCGCCTGCGAGGGGTTGTTGTGTCAAACACACCACCCCCGAATCACGAGGACAAGAAAACTTCTCCGAACGGCCGGAATGCCACTCCAAGACCGAAGCCGCGGAGCCGGCCTCGCTTTGCGGAATATCCACTGGACTAAGGCGGCGATATGTAAACATGTTTGAAGGACCTGTCACCGGCAACATCCCGGAGGTCCTGGACAACGGAGAGGTGACTGACGGCACGCACGTCACCGCAGGGCAGCTGGCCCTGGCTCTCACGCCGTACGCTCAAGTAACGGACCTGGCGGTAAACACTGCGGCGTCCGGCAACAACGCGGCCGCCATCCAGTCCCTGGACGACAGAGTCACCGCAGAGCTGGCCTCCAAGCTGGACAGCAGCGCGCTGGCGCCGGCAATTGCGCTCCTAGCAACGGCGGCGGCCCTGGCCACCACGGACGGGCAGGTGGCCGCGCACGGAAGCAGCATCGCCGCGCTGCAGAGCTCGCTGACCACGGGGCTCTCCAACAAGGCAGACCAGTCGGCCTTCGACGTGCTGGAGGGCGTGGTGGCGACGAAGAGCACCCCGGACGGCGTGGACCTGAAGCTGTCCAACTACAGCACCACGGCGGCCATGAACGGTTCCGTCGCCTCGGCCAACAACGCCACGCTGGCCACGGTGGCCGCCAACTACGGCCTCAAGACGGTGGTGGACCAGCACTCCCTGGACATAGCGGCGAGGATCACGCCGCTGGGGGTGGACACCAAGGTGGCCAACGCTCTCCTGGGGGCCGTCACCGCCGCGGCGCTGGCCTCCAAGCTCGCGAGCAGAGACGCCTCCATCTCGGGGCTGCAGGCCTCCAAGGCGGACGCCAGCGCCCTGACCGCGTACGCCCTGCAGTCT